CGCCGACGACGACGCCCTCGCCGACCTCGGCCGCGAAGCCGAGGCGCGCGCCGCGCATGACGCGCACGTGGCCGTGGACCACGGACGTCGTCGTCTCGAGGCGCGACGGCAGCAGGATCGAGTGGCACTCGAAGGTCACGTCGTCGCCGATGTCCACGAGGTCGTAGCCGCTCTCTTCCACTAGACCGATGGGGATCGCGCCCGCGAACGTGACGCGCTGTCCCACGCGCGCGCCGTAGGCCCGGAGGTAGAGCGCCTGGAGCGGCGACGGGTGCCAGTGGTCCAGCGCCGTCCAGAGCTGCTTGAGCGAGCAGTCGACGGCGTTCATGAACAGCGCCGACCGGAAGCCCGTCGCCGACGTCCAGATCGGGAACGTGCCCGGCCGCTGGCGGCCGACGACGAGCCACTTGAGCGCGACGGAGTTGGCGCGGCACGCCAAGGTCCAGGTCAGGTAGTAGAGCGACCCGACGACGGAGTACTCCACCGTGAAGACGTAGCACCAGTAGAGCGACGGGACCCAGCCCCGGTCGAACGCGAGGACGCCGTCGCCGGGGAGCCGGTCGCCGTGGCCCTCGAGCGACCACGACGCGCCCCAGAGCGCGACGAAGGCCTCGATGTTCGGCAGGCCGCAGCGGTGGATGAGGATGTAGACCTTGGGGATGAGGCCGTAGCGCGCGCCCAGGAACTTCTCGATGCGCAGCAGCGGCACGACGGCGCAGAGCGGGATCGCGATGCCGACGACGAAGCTCAGGAGCGTGAAGCCCAGGCGGTAGAGCAGCGACGGCTCGCCGGGCCGCGCCGAGTCCGTGCGCTTCGCGCGGCCGTCGCGGAAGTAGCGGCTCGGCGCGTCGTGGCGCTCCTCGTCGCGCCCGCCGGGCCAGGGCCGGTCGAAGGCCGACGGGAACGGCGACGGCCGCGGCGCCGCCGCGGCCTCCTCGCGGCTCGCCTTGCGCCGGGACAGCGTCGCGAGCTCGGCGACGGAGTCGACGGCGAGGACGTCCGTCAGGTCCACGTCGACGCCCGTCTCCTCCCGCAGGTCGCGCGCGACGGCCATGACCTCGATGGAGTCGAGGCCTAAACTGCCGAACTTGGACGACGCGTCGACGGCGCTCGCGGCGTGCTTCTGGACGATGCGCACGATCTCCGCCTCGTCGACGGGCCGCGCCTCGACCGTGGGCCGCGCGCTCGGCGGCGCCGCCGTGAGCAGCGCCGCCACGTCGTCGGCCGTCGCGCAGGCCATGACGCGCGACACGTCGAGGACCGCGCCGGGGTACTCGCGCTGTAGCGCCCGCGTCCACGCGTCCGCGTCCCGGAAGCTGAGCGCCGCCGTGGACTTGGCGAGCCGCGCGACGTCGATGCGCCGGCTCGCCGCCGCGCGCCGCACGGCGTCGAGCGCGCCGCCCTTGCGGGGCCTCCGCGCGTCCCCCACCAACTTCGCGACGTCGCCGACGGTCGCCGCGCTCAGCACGTCCAGGAGCTCGAGCTTCGCGCCCGTGCGCGCCTCGAGGTCGCGGACGATGGCCGTCACCTCGAGGGAGTCGAGGGCGAGCGTCTCGAGGGCGC